TAGTGAATTTTCACTGTATTTAAATGATGATGGTCCAGGATCAACATTATAGTAAATGTACACTGTATTTAAATGATGATGGTCCAGGATCAACATTAGTGAATTTTCACTGTATTTAAATGATGATGGTCCAGGATCAACATTAGTAAATTTTCACTGTATTTAAATGATGATGGTCCAGGACCAACATTATAATGAACTCAAACTGTATTTTTCTCCATTCTTCTTCTTATTATTATTATTATTTTTTTAACCTTTAGTTGGACAGTAGAGAGAAAAATGCATGTTGATCAGAGAGATGGAACGAATGAGTATGGACCCACAAGGTGGGAATCAAACTCGGGTCACCATGATCACCACAGGGCCACAGGTTAATCCACTAACCACTACACCATTGGTGCAGTCAAGTTATACGCTTTTAAATTATGGTGATGGGTGAAGATCAACATTAGTGAATTTACACTAATTAAATGATGGTGATGGTCCGGGATCAACAACAAAGAATTTACACTGTATTTAAATGATGATGGTCCAGGATCAACAAAAGTGAATTTACACTGTATTTAAATGATGATGGTCCAGGATCAACATTATAGTAAATGTACACTGTATTTAAATGATGATGGTCCAGGATCAACAATAGTGAATTTACACTGTATTTAAATGATGATGATGATCCAGGGATCAACAATAGTGAATTTACACTGTATTAAATTGATGATGGTCCCAGGATCAACAATAGTGAATATTCACTGTATTTAAATGTTGATGGTCCAGGATCAACAATAGTGAATTTACACTGTATTTAAATGATGATGATGGTCCAGGATCAACAATAGTGAATTTACACTGTATTTAAATGATGATGGTCCAGGATCAACAATAGCGAATATTCACTGTATTTAAATGATGATGATCCAGGATCAAAAATAGTAAATAATCACTGTATTTAAATGATGATGATGATCCAGGATCAACAATAGTAAATATTCACTGTATTTAAATGATGATGATGGTCCAGGATCAACAATAGTGAATTTACACTGTATTTAAAAGATGATGATGATCCAGGATCAACAATAGTGAATTTACACTGTATTTAAATGATGATGATCCAGGATCAACAATAGTGAATTTACACTGTATTTAAATGATGATGATGGTCCAGGATCAACAATAGTGAATTTACACTGTATTTAAATGATGATGATGGTCCAGGATCAACAATAGTGAATTTACACTGTATTTAAATGATGATGATGATCCAGGATCAACAATAGTGAATTTACACTGTATTTAAATGATGATGGTCCAGGATCAACAATAGTGAATTTACACTGTATTTAAATGATGATGATGGTCCAGGATCAACAATAGTGAATTTACACTGTATTTAAATGATGATGATGATCCAGGATCAACAATAGCGAATTTACACTGTATTTAAATGATGATGATCCAGGATCAACAATAGTGAACTTACACTGTATTTAAATGATGATGGTCCAGGATCAACAATAGTGAATATTCACTGTATTTAAATGATGATGATGGTCCAGGATCAACAATAGTGAATTTACACTGTATTTAAATGATGATGATGATCCAGGATCAACAATAGTGAATTTACACTGTATTTAAATGATGATGATGGTCCAGGATCAACAATAGTGAATATTCACTGTATTTAAATGATGATGGTGGTCCAGGATCAACAATAGTGAATATTCACTGTATTTAAATGATGATGATCCAGGATCAACAATAGTGAATTTACACTGTATTTAAATGATGATGATCCAGGATCAACAATAGTGAATTTACACTGTATTTAAATGATGATGATCCAGGATCAACAATAGTGAATTTACACTGTAATTAAATGATGATGATCCAGGATCAACAAAAGTGAATTTACACTGTATTTAAATGTTGATGATGGTCCAGGATCAACAATAGTGAATTTACACTGTAATTAAATGATGATGGTCCAGGATCAACAATAGTGAATTTACACTGTAATTAAATGATGATGATGATCCAGGATCAACAATAGTGAATTTACACTGTATGTAAATGATGATGGTCCAGGATCAACATTAGTGAATTTACACTGTATTTAAATGATGATGATGGTCCAGGATCAACAATAGTGAATTTACACTGTAATTAAATGATGATGGTCCAGGATCAACAATAGTGAATTTACACTGTATTTAAATGTTGATGATGGTCCAGGATCAACAATAGTGAATTTACACTGTATTTAAATGATGATGTTCCAGGATCAACAATAGTGAATTTACACTGTATTTA